ACGCAAGCAAAACCTGCCTCCAACCACCTAAAATCAAGGGTTAGTGTATGGAATCACTTGTACTAGTGGCCAAATTAGGACTCATTCGATAGAATTCGATCAGCACTTAAAAGGACAGACATTGTTTGTTACGATTAAGTGATCAATCATTTTATAACAAACGTTAAACATGTAGAAAGCTCTCGAAGCTCACTTTATTTTCACTAAGTTAGACTTGAAACATGTGAATGCGCATAAAAAGATGTTAATGATTATGTGTAAGTGTAAGACGTTGAAGAGAGATAATGAAATATGGAAAGAGAGAATAACTTACACGACAGATCATTACAAAGATTAGTAATGAGTAGGTGGCGCGACATTCGTACTGGAGTATATGAAAAGAATTATGGATTCAAGATATCCAGATAGTATTTACTTACTTACTTACGCCTGTTAATCCTAATGGAGCATAAGCCGACGACCAGCATTCTACAACCCACTCTGTCCTGGGCCTTCTTTTCTAGTTCCATCCAATTCTTGTTCATTTTTCTCATATCTATCTCCGTTTCTCGGCGTAATGTATTCTTTGGTCTTCCTCTTCTCCTTCGATCTTGAGGATTCCATGTGAGGGCTTGTCTTGTGACGCAGTTTGGTGCTTTCCTCAATGTGTGTATGTGTCCTACCCACTTCCAGCGCTTCTTCCTGATTTCTTCTTCCACTGGGATCTGATTTGTTCTCTCCCACAGTAGGTTGTTGCTAATAGTGTCCGGCCAACGGATCCGAAGTATTTTGCATAGACAACTGTTAATAAACACTTGTATCTTCTGGATGATGGATTTCGTAGTTCTCTAGGTTTCCGCACCATACAGTAGAACTGTCTTGATATTTGTATTGAAAATTCTGACCTTGGTGTTGGTTGCCAATCGTTTTGAGTTCCAGATGTTCTTCAGTTGTAGATATACTGATCTTGCGTTGCCGACCTTCGCCTTTACATCTACATCAGATCCACCGTGTTCATCGATGATGCTGCCCAAATATGTAAAGGTTTTTACATGTACCAAATCTCCGTCAATTGTGATTGGATTGTTATATGCTGTGTTGTATCGGAGAATCTTGCTTTTCCCTTTGTGTATATTGAGACCTATTGCTGCTGAGGCTGCAGCTACACTGGTTGTCTTCTCCTGCATTTGTTGTTGCGTATGCAATAGAAGAGCCAGATCGTCTGCGAAGTCTAGATCATCCAATTGCATCCTAGCTGTCCACTGTATCCCGTGCTTCCCTTCAGATGTTGATGTCTTCATGATCCAGTCGATCACCAGGAGAAAGAGAAAGGGTGAGAGTAAGCAACCTTGCCTGACACCGGTCTTTACTTCGAACGACTTTGTCAACTGTCCTCCATGCACGATTTTGCAGTTTAATCCATCATAGGAATTCTGTATGATATTGACTATCTTCTGAGGTACGCCGTAGTGTCGAAGAAGCTTCCATAGTGTTGTTCTGTCCACGTTATCAAATGCTTTTTCGTAGTCAATGAAGTTGATATAGAGTGATGAATTCCATTCAATTGATTGTTCCACAATGGTTCGTAGAGTTGCAATTTGGTCTGTGCACGATCGATCCTTACGGAATCCAGCCTGTTAGTCTCATAGTTGGTCATCTACCGAGTCCTTCATTCTGTTTACTAACACCCTGTTGAAGACTTTTCTGGTATTGAGAGAAGAGTGATGCCCCTGTAGTTGTCACAGTTACCGAGATCGTCTTTCCTTGGTATTTCGACCAGAAGTCCTTCTTTTCAGTCTGTTGATACTTGTTCCTCATCCCAAATCTTTCTGAAGAGAATGTGGAGTATCTTTGCAGTTACTGCTACGTCTGCTCTCAGAGCCTCTGCTGGAATGTTGTCTGGTCCTACTGCTTTGCCACACTTGATTTGTCTGGTGGCCATGCTGATTTCTTCAATTGTTGGTGAGCCAACATCGATTGGGAGGTCCGTAGGTGCTACTTCGATGTTGGGTGGGTTTATTGAAGCTGGTCGATTCAAAAGTTCTTTGAAGTGTTCTACCCACCTGTTTCGTTGTTCTTCAATGTTGGTGATTATCTTGCCTTCCTTGCTTTTTACTGGTCGTTCTGGTTTACGGTGATTTCCAGAGAATTTCTTTGTTGTTTCATACAGTTGTCTCATGTTTCCTTCTCTGGCAGCCTTTTCCGCCGTCATTGCCAAATCTTCCATGTATTTACGTTTGTCAGTTCTGATGCTCCTCTTTGCTTGCTTGTTTACTTTTGTGTATTTAGCTTATGCCTTGGCTTTTTCTGCTCTTGTTCGACTGGTATTGATTGCTGCTTTCTTGTTCTTCCTTTCTTGAATCTTATCCAGTGTATCAACAGTGATCCAAATCCGCCTGGAGTCCCTTTCCGGAGGCTACTGCCGGTCCCAAGCCCGGATAAAGGAGGAGGGTTGGGCATGGGGTTAGCGACCCCATCCCGTAGAAAACTAACTCGCTAAAAAACGCTAACTAGAAAAAAAATTATTCAAACCATCCAGATAGTAGTAGGTTCAATTATAGTGAATGGTTATGACAAACACCAACGTTGTCTTTTGGCTGGAAAGTATTACGTAAGAACTTGCTAAATAAGATAGAAATTACAAAAACATTGATAAAACTCATTTCACTAAGGATTTCGTAAATAATCAGCCATACTCTGGATTTCATAAAGGTTTTCCCTATACAGTAACCACAAAGAACATTAAAGTTAAAGTGTAACAATTAGGCGCTCCTAGCGAAAACCTGTGAAGTCATGAGTGCTTTCTACTGAACAACCTCTTATTAGAAGAAATAAGATGCCCAGTGCTTTTTAGTTAGTTAGTTATTTATATAGCTAACCAATCAAATCGTTGCATAGGCTCCCACCGCGTTAATCTGGTCTGATGTATCTGTAAACTATTCCTGTTGCATTTGACCTGTCAATTGAAGGACACTATTATCTTGTTATATTAGTGTGACTCATAACTTTTATTTATTTCGATAAGAAACTCAGTGCTGGTCGATATGTTTGTGCGTTCCACTTAATGACTATAGTTCATTTAATCATTGTACTAATCTAACTGTTTTTACGTTTAGTAACAGATAAAGTTTCAAGCCAAGTTGCCCTTATTTTGACTATAGCTTTCACATAGACTCTATGATTGCCAGTATCATGTTTACAGCCCTAATAGTATATCTATAGGAAAAATCAAATCAATACTGGTAAAAATCGACTATAATATTATCAGCCTGATTGAGAAAAAAAATTCACCATTGAAATGATACTAAACATGATTTGTATATAAGTGCAAGAACTAATTTTCATCGGTTACAAACAGTTAAACCATAACATGTGACATTTTGTGATGATAAATTATAATTTGTAGTTGACAGCAAATTTAAAGGTTAAAATTTGTTTATTAAAACATAACTAGTATTATTTTTAAGTTAGGTAAAAATATAACAACAAAGTAACATTGAATAACTTTCATTCAATTATTTTGTTAATCTCATAATAATATTGCTTACTTACGCCTGTTAATCCTAATGGAGCATAAGCCGACGACCAGCATTCTACAACCCACTCTGTCCTGGGCCTTCTTTTCTAGTTCCATCCAATTCTTGTTCATTTTTCTCATATCTATCTCCGTTTCTCGGCGTAATGTATTCTTTGGTCTTCCTCTTCTCCTTCGATCTTGAGGATTCCATGTGAGGGCTTGTCTTGTGACGCAGTTTGGTGCTTTCCTCAATGTGTGTATGTGTCCTACCCACTTCCAGCGCTTCTTCCTGATTTCTTCTTCCACTGGGATCTGATTTGTTCTCTCCCACAGTAGGTTGTTGCTAATAGTGTCCGGCCAACGGATCCGAAGTATTTTGCATAGACAACTGTTAATAAACACCTGTATCTTCTGGATGATGGATTTCGTAGTTCTCTAGGTTTCCGCACCATACAGTAGAACTGTCTTGATATTTGTATTGAAAATTCTGACCTTGGTGTTGGTTGCCAATCGTTTTGAGTTCCAGATGTTCTTCAGTTGTAGATATACTGATCTTGCGTTGCCGACCTTCGCCTTTACATCTACATCAGATCCACCGTGTTCATCGATGATGCTGCCCAAATATGTAAAGGTTTTTACATGTACCAAATCTCCGTCAATTGTGATTGGATTGGTTCATAATAATATAACTCCGTGAAAATATCCAAATTAAAAGCTACCCATCAAATTAAGAAAGAACTCAATGATAGTGTAAAATATCTTAATGATGAGTAAATGAATCTTTTTATTATAGGGGGGGGGGGTCATAAAGATGATTGAATTTGTAATTTTATATTTTTAAAAAATGGATTTAGTTTATAATTTAATTGAAATCTAGGATATATGAGACGCCTTTTTCGTCCTAGTACGAAACTTCTTAAAGGTTGGATTTAAGACCAGTTTAGTTGAATGTATTTTGGTGATTATTTGACTTTCGACTGGATGACTTAATCGAATAAATTTCTGTGTCATTCTGGATAACATTGGTAATGTATATTTCAAATTTTAAACTGTCGATATAAAATACAGTTCAGGCTTTCCCATATTAATACAACTGAATGGTTTAGCAATATTTAATTCAAATCAACACGTTTACAGGATATAAGGTCATGTGCACAAGATCTCACCATAGATGCCCTAATTAATAATGAGTTAGATTTATCTTATCCGCTGTTAAAACTGTTTTCTAATTGGATAGCTTTACACCTTATTGTAATTGGTTTAAAGTGATAGCACTAATACACGTAAAACTAATTAAAAATTCAACATCTCACCCTCTTGTACCAATCACATGTACCCGTTTTTTTCTATATCAATGGTTTTACGTTTATATATATATATATATATATATATATATATATATATATATATATATAGACTTCCTGAAATGGTCCATAAAATTTTCGCTGAAACACTTTTCTATAGACTTCACGTATGATATTTCGTTTATTCAGAGAGCAGAAAAATGGTTGCTCAGGAATTCATTGACTTGTTCAATTCAATATCGTTAGCACAACGTTCTACTGTCGAAGATTTCGCTGATCGATTAAATTTATTCACTGTGATTTTACTACTTATCACTTGTATTATTGTTTCAACAAAACAATATTTATTAAATTCGATTTCATGCTATATACCAGTGAAACCAGCTGGAGAAAATTTCAATGATTATCTTGCAAATTATTGTTGGGTACATGGAACAATTCCATTGGCTGATGATGAAAGAATGCCAACTACAGAAGCTCAATGGGAAGAATATGATTCAACACGAAGAATTAGTGAGTCGATCTTATTGTAAAATTGTCACTGTTTTACTATATGTTTGATACAATGTATTTTATTTATAAATAATATTTAATACAAACTAAGTTAATAGTAGACATCAGATTCTAAGTGATATCCCTTTATAGTTCTGTGAATAATTTAACAATTTAATAGACTTTTTTCGAGGTTAAATGCTCAAAAAGTGTGGACATGGAAATAGGAGCTTTATTGAAAATTCAGAATACTGGGGAATATTTGTAGTTCATGTGAATGGTTTTCATTGTGTCTTCTGAGTTGAGGGATTGGCTTATTAAAAATCAATAGGACTATTAAGATAAAGGAAACTAACAAAACCTCCAAAGAGAACCATTCAAAGATAAAGTCAACATAACAGACTTGCTTAAGGCTTGTGGAATTAACAAACAACATACTTATGCATGAGTATAAATGCTTATGGTGTTATCCATAATGATAATAAAAACTTCAAGGTTAAGCCACTCAGCTTATAATACACAACAAAAACACTGATTTCCAAGTTTTTTTTTCACTAACTAAATTAGACTTGCACCGTCAATAATAATTAGATCTTTAGATTTATTCACGATACATGTATCTCAGAAGTGATTATTGGCGTTTCTTTCGTATAGAAATTCATTATAAATAATTTGTTCGATTTAGAGTGAAATATTAGCTAGTTTTTAGTAACTTTGTATTAATCTATAGAGAAAGCCAAACTGGTAGTTTGTATAGTCTCTAAAAACTTATTAATTTAAGGTTGAAAATCTGAACTATCAAATCCCTAATCATTTATTGACTCAGCAGTCATTTTACTGCTTTAATATATCTGTAGATCAAGTGATGTATTCTATATGAGCTTTTAAATTTAATTTTTCTAGGCAAGGGTTAAAATTTACACCATCCTACCTCCTTATTTTATTGATTATTCAACTGGTTATAGTTACTCAGTGAAAGCTGCAGTGCCATACACAGCTTAATGCATTATGTTATACATAATTTTGAATTTCAGCTAGTAGTAGAATGTAAGACAAGCCTTTCATCTTATGTAAAGCTCATCAGGTGAACAGACCTTCACTCCAGTGTTTGTGTTTACCCAGGAACCCAAGCATAGTGCCTGTTGCTTCAAACACTAACACATTATTTACTAAGCTATTAAGTAGAATCCAGAAAAACGTAAGACTGATCAAATTCAAATCCTTATAAAGTATATGCAGTCAAGTTAGCGGACATAATTTGAAGTTATTCTTGTAAATAAATTACCGATTCCCAAAGTAACCATAAGTTAGAATGTGGATGATCAATGAGAAACTAAAAAAATGACAAAAGTCCAGTTATATTTCCGTTAATTAACGTTTTGAGAGCGAGGACACTGTTTTGAGCAGCATAAAATGAATTAGCTTCATGCTGCTAGTATGTTTCCAGAATATATATATATATATATATATATATATATATATATATATATATATATATATATATATATATATTGACAACGTACAACCAAATTCAGTTTTGTAGTCCAAGTCCACTTTGTAGTTTTTATTTTCTAAATTCATTGATAGTAGGCGGATAACGAGAACGTAATCGAGGCAAAATGAATTCGTATTATTCTGCTCAAATCTGTATTTTTGCTCTTTTTAAAAATCTATGTACACAAAATATATACAAGCTTCGTCATATCGAATAGAACCTCGGAAGAAAGTATCATTAGTATGTTGAGACAAAATAGTACAGAGAATCAGTAATTCAACTGATATAAATTATTTCTAAAAATTAGAACATTCATCGACTAATTCGACTATTAAATGTCAAGTATACAGTTGTGAGTGATTTAAATCGTTTAAGTAGATTTTAGGATTTTTCTAGAATGTAAGGCTGGGAGCCAGTGTTAATCCTTCCTAGCGAGCTTGCGTCAGTGTTCAATCTTCTTTCAAATGATTGAATTCAAAGTTTAAAGACCACATTTTGGAATTTCACCTGCACCATCTGGATGGCAGGTGAGGATTCCACCAGTGAACCATCTACAGATACGAATTTCTAATCATTAATCAGTATTGAATAATGGTTTCATAATTTGCATCAGGAACTGATCTGGACAACCACTGAACACAAGAAGGCACTTGACTGCCTTTTCGCCGTAGTATGGAACTCAGCATTGAGCATTCGTGACCTCACCGACGACTAAACACTGGACCCTCACACTTTGTATTGAGCGCTTGTCCTTTAGATTTCTGACTCGACATCCGGTGGATCACATTTTATAATGCCAATCAATTCATTATATTGCTAATCACCATCCCATATAGTCGTTGGGTAAAGTCTCACAGCGCAAATGATCAGAATCCAATGTTCGCTACTTCTCACGGGAACTTCAGGAGTAGTTTCTTGAAGCTATTCACTTATTAGCATATGATTATTATAAAGGGTTCTTGATGTACACTATAAAATTCAAAAGTAACCACAAGTCCCTTACATTAAGAATATCGGTCTGTTGTAGGTAATTAATTGCACAGGATTCTATATCTTGAATCTCTTTCAGATAATTGATGTACTCCATTATTGGTAAACTTTTCCCTAATGACCAAATATATAAAAAGCCTTCAGTCGAAATTCTCATCTGGGTATTTATTCAAAACCATGAATTAGATAACGAAGTGATTTTGTTTGATTAGATATTCATCATAATTCTACGCTAGATCATTCGTAAATCGCATCTGTGTATTGAGTACAATGTTAAATAAAAAAACGTTTAGGACACGGGTGGTGAGAGCGGCCGTATGACTTTTTAAACCATAAATAATAGGTTTGTTAAGAGTGATACCAATAGTTTCGATTGTAGTTAGCTGATGTACATATAGATAACATGGTTAATTCGATGAAGTATAATGTTCTATCTGATGTAATCCCCAGTGTCTATCAAGTGGTCAAGTACACAGCTCTTAAAATCTCGTAATTCTCCCATTCAACACTGTGTAGAATGAGGTCCTGAAATCCTACCAGGCGATGAGGAAAATCCATCACGAATGAAGTTATCGTATGATACTCAGTGTCATTCTAAAATTGTGATTGTCAACTGAAATTCACCGATAAGTTGAACAATTCGAATGTAACCGAATTTATTACATTATATTCATTGTTTTTTTTTAAATCGCCTGACAGAAAAAAATAGTATAATACAAAACTTTTGCATTCTGATCACAAATTATGAGGTTTGACAATCGAGAAACTGAATTAGTACTCAAACGTTAATTAGTATTTGTAGATCTGTCCCAACATCTGATAAGAAACATTTTAGGAATAATAATTTATAATTTTATATATGCATATAAATATTCTTGTATATTAAAGTCTGATGAGGATCTAATAGAAAACAATATTGTTCTCTTCTACATAATGTTCTAATTCACGATATGGGAATTTCGAATATTTTAAAAATTTACTACATTTGTACTATTTTTCACTATTTTAACGTGTATTCACTATAATGTAAATTATAAAATAATAATAAGTATTCGGTCATATTTATCTAGATTATTCCAATAACCTATTTTCCGAAATTACTCACCTAAGTTTTTTTCTAGTTAAGGGGTGATGATAATCAATTGGTTTTTCACGATAATCAAAAGTTGTCTCCGAAGTTCAATCGGTATTATTCTTTGAAATTTCAAATTGAACCATTATAAGTTGAATAATAGCAGGAAGTATAAAACTATGCTAATTTGATTGCATAATACCATTTTTTCTGTAACGTATTGATCTCCGAACATTTATGGAATTGTGTGTAGAATCAATTAAATTTCATTCTACTGCATGTTTATTTTATACGACATCAGAGGTGGAATGTGTAAGATTTTTTATCTGTAAGAAAGTTAATAGATGCTAAATAATGAGTAGACATATAACAGTGGTGTATAGATGACAAATAAATGAAGATGTATGAAATTTGTAATTGCATTTGTATAATTCCAGTAAGATTCTGCAGGATGTATGCCACCTTTTAAATCTTTTATTTCTTCAGTATTGGAATAAAATTTTCCATTTCCCATACCCTAATCAATATCTTATAATGCTGAACAGCTATAAACCAAAACATTTCGAATTAGCCCAATAAAGTCTAATTTTATGACTCACTTTGCTTGTTATGAATTTCCCTAATTTAATAAAAATCGGAATCTTTGTATCAATCCATCATTCACAATATTGGTGGGTGGCGGATAACTGTAGAGTGATTAAAGGTCAATCGGACTGCTCCTTAGAATGTCCCACTCACTGCTCCAGTTGATTAGTCTGGCATTACATCGATAACAGATACAGTAACAGTTGGATTTTAATACCTTTTTGATGAGTTTCATGTCGTTTACTTTATTAATTTTACTTTTATTGCCCACTATTGCTCGTGATCGATCATTAAGTAGTATTTCTCAGTTAATCTAATTTGCTACTAACCCTTATCAAGTTCGTAGGCTATAGAGATAAGTTTATGTTCATCTTTTAGTTTACTAGAGGCTTGTAAACATTGCTTACCTTTTTTAACATTTCAGTTTAACCTATTAATAGACATCACTGCTATTTTCGAAAAATTTCAAAATATCTCAGGATGAACATCCACATCATGTTGTCCTTGGAATTCAGCTTTTTCTTCTTAATAAGATCTTCCATATCTTTCTGCTTCCAGTGATGCTCAAAGACATATGTAACTTCATCAGAGCTTGGTTGGAATCAGAATTTGTGCTCCAGATAGAGCAGCATACTATTTCCAAATCTCTTCACTAATGGCTGATAGCAATACAGTTCATGTTTTTATTGTTGTTCAATGTGGAGGAAAAGACTCGTGAGATATGTTTACTTAACAGCTCTATTCATAGTGACTAAATCAATATATTTGTTAATATTAGGGTTATGACTGGACAGCTAAAATTCATTTTAGAGGGTTGAGAGAAGCCAATAGAAAGCTTCAAGTCTAGGTCACAACTCATCGGCAAGGAGTGTTTGAAGT